AGCAAAACAGTACTGAGCCTACTTTTGAAAATAAGTCACCATCTCATTCCTCCTCCTCTCCCCTAAAAAATTATGATAGCTTGTTAGTATCACCCCTTGGGTCAATTTCATTAATTAAAAAATGCATTTTTGATAGTATATGTGCAATATTGAATATTTTATTCATTTTTGCCTATTAACTTATACAAAACTTAAAATGACTTTGCATGGTATATATTTGACTAATTAACAACAAATTTACTAATTAGTTTTTCTCAAGTATGTTATTAGCTTAACATTATTACAGACATGATATTAAATTAAAAACAAGTGTGTGACACCAGATGGATGCTACCAGTTCACAAAACCACCAACATTGAGCATTATGTGAATGACCCCACACAGCCAGATGGGAAGACCACCTGAAGAAACTCGGGTAGCTGTTCAGGTGAGTGAGGACAGCAGATCTTACCATCAGATCATCTATATGCTACATTGGTAATTGTGTGCTGGACTTTATTGGATGCAAGGTGAGCAACTGACAGATAGCCATGGAAAGGGAGAAGCTAACCTGCATACAAAATGCACTAGCTCCAACAACCAAGCAGCAAGTCAGATCCGTCCTGGGGTTAGCAGGATACTATAGCAAGTTCATCCCAAACTATTCTAAAATCGCTGCACCACTGACTGATCTGACCAAAAAAAAGGCCAACCCAACAAGGTGAAGTGGGAACATCCACAGCAGATGGCATTCCAGAAGTTAAAGAATGTGTTTGGAAGCTCGTCAATCCTTAGAGTGCCAGACTTCATCAAACCATTCCAATACATCAGACATTGAAATTGGAGAAGTACTTTCACAAGAAAATGAAGAGGGACTGTTTCCATTAATGTACATCAGTAAAAAGCTATTGAGTAATGAGAAGAACTACTCTGTAATTGAATGAGAGTGTCTGGCCATGGTATTAGCCTCTGGAAGTTCCAGAACTAATATTACAAAGATTTCTCTTTCTGACATTCGGATGATTCCAGAATGTGAAACCATAAAAGATCTATTATTAACCACCAAAGTTCATGTTCAAGTCATGCAGACTAAACTATGTGAACTTATTCACATCTACACCTGCTTACTGCATGTGATTCGATTGTCTGCCATAGTGGAATGCATTCTCACATATCTCTAAAGCATGATGGGATGCACTCTTATGTGCACTTCCTTGTTCGAGACAAATGTAGCATACACAATGACGAAGATTCAAGTTTCTAGATAATATTTACAATAGTATTACCCTGAACACAACATCCAATTGTACTGCTAATATTGTACTGCTAGTAATGAAGAATGGTGTAGATCTGAGACTAAGTATTCAGATCCAGGTGGATCGTATAGTAATGTTGTCCTACAAGGAACTGTGTCATCGACTATTAATTATTTCACTGCAACAGCTTTATTAAATGAGGATACTTTAGTTATACAGTCTTTGGAATTGAGATGTCAGACCAAATCCAGTTACTGTATATATTCTCAAAAAAGGGAAATTGTATGGATTTTGCCACTACAGGGTCATGTCATAGTACCTCTGTAGATATATTATATGAAAGAGAAGCGGAAATAATTCAAGACCAATCAACAGCTGATGAAATTATAGTTGTACAACAAACTGAAGCATTGTTTAAATTACTTCTCATGCCACCGATATTCTTATGCTCACAAGAAGTATGACAAACGTATGTTTGTGTTACAATAACAACATCGGAGGTTTTACTTTAATATTTATCTTGCTAGTTATGTTAATACTAAGTTTTTGTATACTAAAACTATTGAATGCATTTTCGATGACGAGGAACCCACTTTGAGACTAATAATGGCTGGAGACGGCTTAAATGGGTAATGAAGAA